ATAGAAATTTTTAGCTTCTCAATATACAACTAACAATAATTTAATCAATTTTATTTGTGTAATTAGTAGTTTTACGAATCTATGCAACTTTTATTTAAAAGGAAGCAAAGGTAGAGTCCTTTAATAAGATGTCTATCATTACGTGCGACTATCTCCACTATAGAAAGAAAAAAAGGAAAGAACAACATTTTCAGCACATTTATATTTGGTGTGGCTTATCGGTCGAATAGATTGTATTGGATGAGATGAGATCATTGGACCTGGAATTAGTTTTAATTTTTATTAGTCTTGGACTTTCTTAATTAGATAGAACTTAAGTAATCTTCATTGGTAATATACAATTAACTATACATCACATAGATTATTTGCTACAAATAAACAACATTTATGAATTAAACAAAATGTATTTTATTTTATTGGGGATTTTTTTCTCATAAAAAGAGGCATAATACCTATATTTGTTATTAATTTAATAATTTTTTTAATTTTATTGATGTTTCTTAAACCCGCGCAAAGCGCGGGTAAGTTTACTAGTTGGTGTATAAAATAGTGATGAATTAGTTATCCTACATTCAAAATCACAATCAAATAATGTATTAACTCGGTAAAAATTCTTATATAATGATTAATTGCCTTATGCAACATACCAAACAACCCATACTAGAGGCGGCTCAACACTACATGTGGCCTAAAGCAAAAATTTAAAAAGAGGCCTCAAAAGACATTCGAGGTTAAGAAATGTTTTTTCATATCTAATCCTTTGATAATTTCATTAGCTTAAGAATGAAAAATTGTCCAAAAAGCACTTAAAGAATAGAAGAAAATTCTACAAAATTATAGTTATAAACAAAAATTGATTCAAGTTGAAGTGAGTTAGACAAATTAAGAAGTTGAGCTCATCCACCATGCATGAGGTAACAAAAAAGAATAATAAAAAATAGGAATAAATGCAAGTTTAATAATTTATAATTTTTATTATAAACTTTAAAAATTGATAACAAATGACTAGAACTATTTTATTTATCACTAATAATAAATACATAATTATTTACATTATATATAATTTGTTATAAAACAATAAATGAAGAACAAGAGTATTGTAGAGAAAGTAGGGAGAGAGAATTCTTATTAATATGGGATGAATTACAATAGAATACAACCCTCTATTTATAGGGAGAGTGTGACTTAGCCACCAAGCAATGAACCCTAAAATCTCTCTAAATATAGACATTCACTATAAATACAATTCTATTTATAACACTCCCCCTTGAATGTCTATTCAATAAATAATGTGCCTCGTTAAAACATTATCTAAAATAAAACCCAGTGGGAAAAAATTCTAGAAAAGGAAAAAGAGTACACATATCTAACAATACGCCTTTTGGTTGCCTCGTTAAAAACCTTGCAAGGAAAACCCAGTGGGACAAAACCTTGTAAGGGGAAAAGAGTACAACGCGTATTAACTCCCCCTGATGAGTGCATCAATTCACATCCTTAAGCATTTGCATTCCAATCTTGTGCACCATCTTCAAAAGATCTTTGGTAGAGATTTGATGAACAAATCAGCCATATTAACTTGAATGAATATATTGCACCTTGAAATCATCATTCTTGATAGAGATGAAATGTCTTCACATGATCTTGTTGGAATCGTCAGTTCAATATCTTCACATAGAGGTGAAAACTCTTGCTATCATATTATCATGCATATAGTTATAGCAAGATACATTTGTGCACAAATTGCACCGAAGATGTAGTACTTCATGACCATGAATTCTATATGCTTTAAGCAATTTAAATCCTTCAGGGATTGTTAAGTCATATAAGCCATATAATAGACTTTAGATGCATATCAACTTTTCATGTCATGCTAGACATATAAGATATCGAAAACTGATTGCACATACCATTGACTTTATACTTTCAAGTGTTTGAACTACATGTTCAAAACTACATGTCTTTCATATGAAATCAATTCTATTTGAATTGTGTCTCTTCTATTTGGCCAATATTTCTGTGTCTGTATTCGACGGACTTAAAATTCTCATCTACACTTAACGCTTTCATAGATGTCGTCGACGAATATTTTATATTGGTTCCAACCTCTTTTTTTTCATAAAGACATAACATAGAGATCTCTTCATTTATATTTTCAGGTACTTGAATCTCTCCTGAGATTTTATGAAGTGTTATGTCATATGATCTTCTAGATCACTTGCCTCCTTTGTTATGATCATTTAGATCATTTGCTCATCTTCTTTATCAAGAAGTTTATTTGAAACCGATTTGTCTATACGCTTCAAGCGTACCATAGACTTTGTCCTTCTAGGACTTAATAGGAGCATTTGCAATGAGAATATAGTTACTTTCTTTGGGCCAGGAAATGCGTTTGGCATGCTTTGCAATATATTGCAAATGAATTATCCTTTTATGAACTTCAAGTTCATATTATCTTATTCGAGGATCTAGATGTACAAATGATAATTCATTCCACGTAACTTTTTCTCAACTGTTTATCATGTCTCCCCCTCATGTTAGAAAAACTAACTTGTTACTTCAACTTTGAGAATCCACCTTTGTGCGTTATGGTGTTAATCAAAATATACACCGCACATCAATAATAATAAGATGGAATTATGTGGTCCTGACTCTGAACCACTTGTGAGGGGAGAAAATAATATACTCTGATATATAACGTATATCAAACTGATATAGATAACTTTGTTCGCATAAGCAATTGTTTAGCTATTAAGTAGAGGCACTTAATAAATCATTTTGCTAAACCAACTGTGATGTAAACCAACTTATCAAGATGAACTTCTTGAATAGAAAATCTGGAAATTATGCTCGAAATTAAATTATTGAGCAAGTTACCTCGCAAAACACCATGTTGCGGGTTATTAATAATCGCACATGTAACCATCTCATAGATGCATCTTATGTGGTATACATGGCAGGTGAATGGCCCATATTCACATTTGATATTTCCAGCATTCATGGGATTCAATCCCAATTTTAGTTGGTATATTAATTAATGAGAACATGCAACATAAGAGAATTCGTAAAGAACTTTCTAGTTCTTTAATATTTACCCATGTGAATTCTCTTTTATTTTTTCACATCATATTTAAATTGATATGGGTAAACCAATTACACCAACCGAATAAATTATCAATATTGATAAACTTCAGATTTACACCATGACGTGTGCAATTATCAATAAACTCAACGTTTATTATGATATGGGGTTTTATATCAATAAACTTCTCTTTATTGTAGCATTCTTTTGTTTGTGTAGTACAAAATGGAGAATAAAGCGGGTAGCTTTTCACATACATATTACCCCGCTACAAGTTGTAGTAATAGAAGATATTAAATCTTTCCTTTATTTATAGTCTCAGTATGACCAACCGCTTTCGCGAATACTTTAGAAACTCAATAAGTTTCTTTGAGACTTACTACAACAAAACGTCTTATTGATATCAATTTTCTCCAAAATAGTATAATTGACTCTTCTAGAGCTCTTAGTTAATTTTGTACTACCACATATTCAGCAACATCCATATGGTGAACATCTCTTTTAAAGAGAAAGTTATACCATTATGGTTATGGTCAAAATTATATGCAAGATATGTTTCTTGCATTAATGTTATTCTTTAATAATCACATTACCAAAATATTTTAGCGTGCAATAGGTACGTGACCAATGACCATTCATGCCATAATAATGACATTATTTTCTTATATCATCTCAAACCTCCTTCTAGAGGTGAGTGTGTGGTATATTCACTACCACTAGCACGTTCATATTCTTCCAAGAATGAATATGTATTCATAAATCAGATGTTGTCACATTCACATCATGAATTTACCATAGTCATCTGTATGTGCTTTACGAAATCTTATGTCAAATCGATGACAAACATTAACTTCATAGAGTAAAGGCTTATTTTGAGAATCCTTATTATTCTCATTACCACGATAATGACGATTATAATTTCGTCTATTACCAAGTCCGCATTAATTGATACCTTTATGGTAATAATTTTGTCTTCTTTCAGACTTATTACATATTGTTATTACATTCTCTTAAGGGAATGAGAATGGAGCAAATTCAATGGGACGGGTTTTCAATTCTTTGCCCACAATCATACCTGAATTTGATCGCGGCAAGACATAAAATTCTTACCACTTTGGGTGGTTATAGTTTATTTCAAACTCCATTAGAGTTAAAATCAAGATTTATTGTCTTTGCTTGTATTTAAAATCAAATTATAGAATGTCAAGAATCTAAAAGAGAAAAATAAAGTAAGATACTTACCTTAAATTCAGAATTTAATCATGAAGGAAGTTCATGGAACAATTGATAATCATTATGCTCATTCCCAAAGCTTCTACTCAATTGGTTAGAGTCTCGTGCTGATAACGTGTTATAAAACAATAAGTGAAGAACAAGAGTATTGCAGAGAAAAGTAGGGAGAGAGAATTCTTATTAATATGGGATGAATTACAATAGAATACAACCCTCTATCTATAGGGAGAGGGTGACTTAGCCACCAAGCAATGAACCCTAAAATCTCTCTAAATATAAACATTCACTGCTTTAATTTTTTGGAGGCCTTTAGCCACCGCTTTAGTGGCTTTAGGATTGAGCCGCCACTGCCCATACAGATAAATTTAAGATCCTAATCTTACATTTTGAGTCACATAAAGATTATATAGTATAACTTTTTATGACACACCACAAAATTTTATGCTGAATATTTCTTCATGTGTTCTAATAAACACTACTTTTACTTATATGACTAATGGTCCTTTATCAACAACACGAGAATAGTGGTATCTACTGTTTTATTTAAATGATCCAAATTTGATAAAATCAATTTGAACGATCCAAATAATCAATTCCTTAAATTTATTACACGATCCATGTATATAATTTAACTCTTTAATATTTGACTTTGTTGACTTCAATAGTTAGACATGGACAAACTATACGTTGTAGAACGGTTGGGCCGGGTGGCAGTGAAGGTGAAGCATTAGAACGCGTAATGATTCGAGCGGGACCTTCCATATTTTGAACTTTCACTATTTTGTCTTTTTGTTTCAATTGTCCTTTCGAAATTTCCATTTCGCAATTCTCTACATTACGAGTGTGGATCCAGTGACCCACTAAGCTACAGATCCCTTACGGTCACACTACTTCTAGTCTAACCACTGCCGGCAAATCCCATTCACATGCTTCAGATCTGTTCATCTTTTCTCGAAATTTCATTGATCTCAACTTATTTCCCCAATTTTTAGTTTTTTAAACACTCCTATTTTGCACCAGTTCGCGTGTTTGGGGTGTCAATTGATCAACTAACTATGCGTTAATTTGGGAATTTTTCGGTACTGGAGTGAAATTAGCTGCCATTTTTTGGGAAGTTGGAAACCCTAGTTCCGATAATGGCAGGGCCCGTACAGCCAGAAGCTATACTGGAATGGCTTCAGAAGGAGATGGGTTACCAACCTTTAGGTTCATACGCAGCTTCAAGCAAAGCAGCAATGCCTACTATCGATTCGCTTCGCAAGATTTGCCGTGGGAACATGTTACCGATTTGGAATTTCCTTTTGAACAGAGTGAAATCCGAGAAAACTGTTGAAAAAATCCGCCGCAATATCCTCGTGCACGGAAAAGATGATGAAAATGTTAATGCTGTTGATTCAGGGAGGAGTAAAGGGAAGAAGAAGGAGAAGGTAGGGGGAGTGGGTAGGGACAATGGTTCGGGTGAGAATAGTAGGGAATTTGCATTGCAGGAAAGAGACTTGGCAGAGAAAGAGGTGGAAAGGCTAAGGCAGATAGTGAGGCGTCAGAGGAAAGAGTTGAAGGCAAGGATGTTGGAGGTCTCGAGGGAGGAGGCTGAGCGTAAGCGCATGCTTGACGAGAGGTCTAACTATAGGTATCGTCTCTGAAAATTAGCTTATTGTAATGTTTTTTTGTCATCTATTAGTAACTACTAGCTTTGTGTTGTTCTTAATTTTGGTTCTAGTGATGATCTTATCTATAGAAGAACGTCTTACGTGGATGCCTTAAAGTGTAATATGCAAAAGGCAAATCTAGCTCTTCTAGCAGTTAATTGAATCCATTACATTCTGATTGGACCATGTATACATATTCCCAAAAAAGAAGAAGTAAGGAAATGTATGCGCGTGTGTGCGTGTTTATATAATAATGATGGTGGTATCGGTCTAGCTTGTGTCCACCTCGACTATTCTTCCGGGTACCTGCTACCTCCCACTAGTATAGATAGTGTGTATATCTGCCCATCAAGGCTTAGGCGAATGAGAAGAAATCACCTTTTTTTGCCACCGCCAGGATTTGATCTGGAGACATAATGGTTCCTCTCACTTCATTGACCATCAAGCCAAGGAATATGTATATATAATCGACTATACCCACTCCAAGTTCATTTACTCTAAATTTTTGGATTCACTCTGATAATATGAAATCGAGTTAACCTTGTGATTATTACTACTGACTCTCTGAAGGTAGGGATGGGACGGGTTGGATTATTTTTCGTCATTTTTAAACTTGCCCATTTTCTGTCCATAAGCAACAAGAACCTGTTTCCAGACTGGTTAGCACTGGTGGCATTAAGTATAGCTGATATTGATAACTTTTAAGTGCAGACATAAACAAGTAATGCTGGAGGCTTATGACCAACAGTGTGATGAAGCTGCAAAAATATTTTCGGAGTACCATAAACGTCTAAGTTATTATGTTAGCCAAGCAAGGAATGTTAAGCGGTCTAGTGTTGATTCTTCTGCGGAGGTGGTTACTACTTTTCATGCAAATGAGAAAGAATCTGTTTATTCAACTTTTAAAGGAGCCAAAAGTGCAGAGGATGTCATTCTCATTGAAACAACGTGGGAAAGAAATATCAGGAAGGCATGTGAGTCTCTTGCTATGCAGATGGCTGAAAAGATTCACAACTCTTTTCCTGCTTATGAAGGGAACGGAATCCATATGAATTCTCTGTTACAAGCTGCCAAGTTAGGTATTGACCTTGATGGTGATTTGCCCGATGAAGTAAGAGATGCAATTGCAAGTTGCCTGAAAAGTCCTCCTCAGTTGCTACAGGCAATCACTGCATATGCTCAAAAGCTGAAGACTTCGATTACTCGAGAAATAGAGAAAGTTGATGTTAGAGCTGATGCAGAGATTCTAAGGTAATCTGATCTTCTCAGAAATAGCTTTAAAATCTTCCAAATAATCACAGCAAATCTTCCATTTGCTGTGATTATTTGAATGAGCAATTGAAAACTACTATAACTCCTATTTTCCTGTTTTCTTGTTTCTTTTTGCTGTTACCTGATTTGGTAAATTTACTTTTATGGGAAATATATGTCCATTTTTCGTGTGTGGAAACTTCTGACTTTAATTATGTATGACCAAAAATTCAATTGGTCAACTGTTGCACTTCCTCATATTTTAATATATCAAAAGGTAAACTAATCAGAGATAAGTGTCATACCAATTGGCAATTATAGTCGATACAAACTAGCTAGAGCTATACTTAGTTGCTGTGACGCTTATATTAAGTTCGGTGTTGGGAGTCCTTTTATTCTGGTTGGGCACTTTTATACCCGTCGGGGGTTAATTGCAAGATTTTGAAAATCTGGTTTAAAGAATCACTGACTTGCCTTACAAGATAAACCATTCAGTATTAGAATGAAATGGACATGAGAGTGGAATGCATACAGAAGATTGATATAGCTGGCCCAATTATTTGAGAGTTGATTGATGGAATGAAAAGGTAAACTAATTCAAATTATCTGTTTAATAAAACATGTAATTTCTGACAAGGCCACCGATTTAAAAGAGATGGAGTTCTTTGGTTCCGCTTGATTTTGTGGTAAGGTGTATCTACTTGAACCCAGTTTATGTTAATTGTGGCATGATGATGTACCTATTCATTGTTGTCAATATTTAACTTCGAATCAGGTACAAGTATGAGAATGACAGAGTAATGGATGCTTCTTCTCCTGATGTAACATCACCTTTACAGTATCAGCTTTATGGCAATGGCAAAATTGGAGGTGATACGTCTTCAAGAGGGACTCAAAATCAACTTCTTGAGAGACAGGTCCTTTTTTATGTCATCGCGTATAATTATTTGCCACCTTCAATTTTTTACTTTGCGAAGTTCCTTAGACTTTTTTAATAGATTGCCTTATTTTGTTTCTTGAAATCCTTTTGGAGCTCTTCGTAAACTGTTGCTCCCTTTGACCTGAATTGGGTTTCCAGTTTGACTTGATTATTAGTTGAGTGTGTCTTGTCTGCTATACTTCTTTCGCAATTGTTAACCTGACATGGATGCTGTGAGTTCATTGTTAGATATGCACTTGTTTTTACGGTTGTAAGAACTAAGACCTTTCATTTTTATATGCAGGAAATCTGTTTATTTTGGTATATTTTCTAAACTGTCTGATTTGTTGTCCTATGCAGAAAGCACATGTTCAGCAATTCATGGCTACCGAAGATGCATTGAATAAAGCCGCAGAAGCAAGAAATATGAGTCAACAGCTTTTAAAGCGTCTGCAAGGAACTGGTGATGCAATCTCTTCACACTCACTAGTAATTGGCGGAACATCAAAGAGTATGAGCAGCCTCAGACAACTTGAGGTTTGACTTCTATCTTATAAAACTTAAAAATACTGCATAGGCTGTGGACCTGTGGTAAAGCGGGATGCGACACCTTTCTTGGTTTCTTTGGAGAACATTCTGAAGTTGTGTGTGGGCAGCTATTGATTGAATAGTGTTATTATTATAAGGGTTATCATACTTCTTCTGATTAAGTTTAGAGATGTAAATATTGAATATATTGTCTTTTTAAAGGTGTTGAATATTGCTTTACTTTCCTTTGGTTTGTCTACTTATATAGTGCTTTCTCTTGGTAGTTTCAAACATGCTGGTTTTAGTGTAATCTTATGATCTTCTCTAGCTCAAGCCATGTTACTTGTATGAAACCTATTTATTGATTTTGTAGACGTGGGATGTCCTAGCAATTGTTTTCTTCTTTTTGTAGCTGGAGGTCTGGACAAAGGAAAGAGAAGCAGCTGGATTAAGAGCTAGCGTGAACACTCTAATGTCTGAAATACAACGTTTAAATACATTGTGCGCAGAGAGAAAAGAAGCTGAAGATTCTTTGAGAAAGAAATGGAAGAAGATCGAAGAATTTGATGCTCGGAGATCAGAGCTTGAATCTATTTATAGTGCCCTACTGAAGGCAAGCATGGTACGACTGAACTTATGTCCATCTATGCGGTGCGATATGTCACTACACCAGCCTTCTGTTTTTCCTTTTTTTTTTTTTTTGTGTGTGTCTGTGTGTGTGTGTGTGGGGGGGGGGGTTGCATGTGATTGCGGTCTGAAGATCTATCCGTGTATTTTCCCAAAATTATTAAGCTTATGACCTTCTGGAAGTATAAATGATATCTGCATAGGGACTATTTTTTTTGTCATGAGACACTATTACTTTCCAACTTGGTGCATGTGTACCTTAAGCAATGTGTTGGAACTTGGAACAACTAACTTGAATTGCTTTGACCATTAAACCAGATACACGGGACTCCTTAAATATGTTTGAGTTTACTATATGATCAAATGTGGCCTTGCACATAGTTAGTCTAAATACTTTTTGTTGGAAACTAAAAGTGAAATTTCCCATGGCCCACAATTATGTTGATCAATTACCAAGATGGTCACTATCTAGTACTCCCTCAATTCTATTCTATATAACAACATTTGACTGGTCAGAGTCTGAGATGTTAATTTGACTTACCTTTTATTATTATTATTATTATTATTATTATTATTATTATTTTTTTTTTTTAATCGGTAAAGAGTGGCATATTATATATAATAAAACCACCAAGAAGAGGTTGCTGGATGAGTTACAAGCAAAAGTATTTGACTTACCTTTTTATATTGTCAATAGTTGAAGAAAACACTAAAGTGTGGTTGAAAAGCTGAACGAATAGTATAATGAATTCGAATTCTTAAAAGTTGTATAGGTATGGAATTGTGTAATATTCTGGGTCATCCCTAAATGGAAGAGTGTCATAAAGATTGAAGCAAAGGGACCATATGATGAAGTTATTGGCATAATTATTATGGCTTCAGCAGCCCAACCTTGTCTAATATACTAGTCCTGTCCCATTTTATCTTTTGAGAAATGAGTGAAGATAGGATAAGGCATGAGAAAAGTCTTACGTCTTAAACTTTTATAGATTTGTACGAAGGTGCAAAAAAATGTGGTACCTGTTAGAACACTGAAGTTTTAACATATGCATTGTTTGACGACCTAGTTTGAAAGGTTTACTGGATAAATTATTGGTCAGCATTTGGTTAAACAAAATTGGGTGGAAGTAGTAGGTTATATTTACATTGATGTGCAACTTGATGCCCATCCCAATATATATGCATCTCAGTGTGTCTTAACTGAAAATTTTCCAATTTGTTAATAAATTAGATGTTCCACTGACATATTTGTGCTTTTATGCTGGAGAATCTAGTAAATTGTTTGAGGGATTACAACTACAATGACAACAACAACTAAGCCTGAATCCTGAGCTAGTTAGGAGAAATTTATTGATTGTTTGATTACATAAAATTTTCCCTGTTGCTATGTAGGATGCTGCAGCATTTTGGAGTCAGCAGCCATCAGCTGCAAGGGAGTATTCATCAAGTTCTATAATTCCTGCTTGCACTGTGCTTGTCGATTTATCAAACAGTGCAAAAGATCTTATTGAGCAAGAAGTTTCAGCATTTTATCAAACTCCTGATAATACACTTTACATGCTTCCATCAACACCCCAGGTTTGTAGATTTCACTAATCCACATATCTAATAAAGACGGTTTAAAGAAATTTAAAAGAATCATTGACGCTGCTAGGTTTAAGGAGGATTTATGAAATCAACCTTTTAATTGTATGCTAATAGAATCTGTGCTACTTCAGTTACTAATTATTTGCTTCAAATTGCTTCTTTTTAAATATTTAAAATTTAAAATTTTGGAGACGGTGCAAATTATGAATGAAGAATTAGCAAAGTGACTAGTCTGCTAGGTTTCAAAATCAGATTTATGATGCTCTTCTTGATTGTTTGCTGGTAGGATCTATTTTGTGCTGTAAGCTGAAAAGTAAATTTTGCGCCCACATATTTCCCCAAAAAACGCTAATACCACATGTTATGGAACAATCAATTTGGACCAAGGGAGTCCTTTTGAACTAAGTGAATAATTGTAGATGATTATTTTGGACAATGGGAGTCCTTTTGAACTAAGTGAATAAATCTAGATAAGCATGCTTTTAGAGGTGTTGACGGGTGTGTCATCCTATATTGCTCGGACTCGGGTGTGTGTATCTGATCCGGGTGTGGATCTAGAGGTCAGATCCTTCATAATCTTAATTTTAAGATTCGGGATCCAGATACAGATACGAGTGCAGGGATTTGACAAAAAATAATTTAAAATTCTAAAAATAAATTTATAAAAATATCCTAACTATGAGATATATTTTATGAAAAACTTACTTGTAGGTTGTGGATTGTGGAGTGCAACCAATAATTCTGTTGTTCATTCACATATTTCTCAACATGGAAGAATGCTAGCTAGAATGAACCAAATTATAGGGAAATAAAACTCTTGAAGATTTAGCAAACGCGTCAAGCTTTCACTATATTGATTTGCTTATAATGGAGAACAAGTGGGTTACAATATTTTTTAGCAGATAAACTCCAATATAAAGTCTCGAACTCTATTACTCCAGCACTTACCCCAATTCCTCTCGTCGAATGCTCGTCTTCTGCAAGTCCCTCTTTGAAGCTCTCTGCTTCTCTCCCTTAAAAAGATAAAAAAATAAAAGAAACAAAAGTTGCAGGATCCATCTAAAGGCCTTCCCCAATGGCGGCATACCAGCTTCAAATTTACCCTAGCTTTTGTTTTGATGTTGGAAGTCAATATGTATTTTATCTCAGTGTTTGGAAAAGCGATCGCTTCGTCGCTTTAAGCGCAAAGCGATGCGAAGCGACATGGTATCGCTTTTTACTGCTTGAGGCGATGCGATCGTGTGAAGCGCACGCTTCAGTGAAAAAAGCGACAAGGCAACGAGGCGACGAAGCGATCGCTTCTTTTAAAAAATCGCAGCTGGGCCCTTTTTTTAAAAAAAAAGATTGGGTCTGTTTGTAAATTATACAAAACAGACCCCTAACCTCGCTTCTGTAATTGCTTGACAAAATAGAGACCTCTTCTCTCTTCTTCATCGACAAAACTAGGGTTTCCAAGTAAGTTTCTTCTCCTTTCTTCTCATTTTTTTCTTTCTTCTTTCTTTCTTCTTCTTGTTCCCTTCCAGATTCTGCTCTTTATTTCTTTCTTTTTCCTTCTTTCTTCCTTCTTCTTCTTCTCTTCTCTTTTTCACTTTTTCTCCTCCAGCGTCTGCACAACTAGGGCAGGCGTTGGTTTTCTTTTTTTCCTCCCTTTTATTCTTCTTAATTTTAATATGTATTTTAGTTTATAAAATTACTTATTAAATATATGTGTTATATCTTTCAGTTTATTTGATTTTTTAATGTGTATTTCAGTTTAAAAAATTAATTATTTTATTTATGTTATATTTTCAGTTTATTTGATTAATTTTATATGTGTTTGTGTGTATATATATATATATATATGTATATGTATATATATATATATATATATATATTAGTTTATTTGATCTTTTTAATGTGTATTTCAGTTTGTAAATTAACTATTATATATATTATATGTATTTTCACAATTGCGCTTCACTTCAATGAAGCGTGCGCTTCGCTTTGCGCTTCGCGCTCTCAAAAACACTGTTTTATCTCGAATTTTTCTGTAGCTTTGGTCAAAGTACCCGAAATCAGTCGATCATATCTGATGTGGAACCCCCATCAATGTTGTGTCGACATGGGTATGGCGGGAATTTTGAAGAGTCCGCGCAATATAGGTGTCATTTTATCTAAAAGTTAAAGTTGTTTAGAGAGCATACTTTATTTATTTAGTTGTCTTTAACATGTCTCGTCACGTGCATGCTTGATTTTTTTTTCATGGGCCAATTACATGATTTTTTTTTAAAATAAAGGTGGCAGTATTTATTTAATTCTTATTTCTAGAATTAAGAATAAGTGTCTCCATAATCTTTTTTTCTAGTGTAAGAGTTAGGTATATTGGAAGTATGGATCAATATATGGATTTCTTTGATCAGTTAGGAGGAAGGATGTAGTTGCTTTTGTGATGTAGTACAATATCTTCTAGTCGTTCTGGAGTCCTGTACTTTATTTGTACCATCTTGGTAACTTTATTAATAGCGCCTTTACCATTTCAAAAAAAAGTAGCAATAAGACTCGAACTTAGGACCCTTGCATGCTCTAATATCTTTTCTGTCCATTAGGTTTTTTTATCTACCATTCTCAAGTTTATCCTAGATCTACTTGCATCTCTGCCTTTGTAACAACCTCCAAATATGAACACTCACAATAACAGAAGAAGACTCATTGTTCAATTAATAACCAAAATACATAAGGAAAGTTACAGAAGGATAGAAGAACAGTAACCTAGAAGAAGGGGATGAGAATGTAGAGGACACATTATAGGGAATGGAGGACTCAGACATTTTACTCAACAATAATCTGCGGCCTATTTTTAGCCTAAGGTACTGCTATTTATTAATTCCTCATACCTCACATGTTCCTAACCCGGGTCCCACAAATAGTTTCTAAGTTTCCATCCATGCCCTCCCAAATATTAACTACATTCATAACAATACCCCCAACCTCAATAAGAACCTTGTCCTCAAGGTTCAAGATAGGAAATTCTATTGAGAGAACATAAGCATTTGTGTTGGCTTGCACCATTGAAAAGGATTCCCATATGTAATCTTTCGTGGCCATCAGTGTAGTATCAGATATTGAGTCAAATGCAGCGACACTACCATTGTCCAGAACTATCCAACCATGTTGAACATTCAATAGAGAAAAAGCCATCCCAGCAGCCACACCACTTAGGCACGTCACTTTAGTTGTAGGTGAATGCAAAGTAGGGAACTCATCACAATGCCATATTGAAGCTTGACCATCCGTAGAATTGCTGGGCACTGCCAATTGCATTACATTGCAGCTGTGTTGCTTTATGTTCATCACTGTCCCGAAAGAGGGAGCTTTCGTTTCTTGGTGAACTCCACCTGGATCAAAAGCTTGCTGCCAGGTCGCAATGTTCGGGTCGCTGAAATAAAAACAAACTGCCACTATGTCGTCACAGCTTTCCGCTTTATCATATAAAATAAAAAGATTTCTCGATCGATGCAACTTTAAAGCTTCACCAGTATCTAATGCATACCCAGGAATGGCAAAGGTGCTTCCCCAGCCAAAGTCAATAAAACTAACTCCTTGTGCCTGAGCAGAGCTAATGAATCAGTATTCTTGTGGCAAATTGAGTTTCTGCAATGCCGCATGAGGCTCACGCTTGAGAGAATTCCGCTCATGAACATGAATCCGATGATATGAGTCAAAAGCGGTTGGGTGATGCTTAAATCTAGTTGCTAATGCGGCAGGCAAGTCACACATTAGAGCACCACCCGTTGCTAGTCCATTCACGACCCCCCCCCCCCCATTGATCATGCTGGATAATTATCGCGTTCAAATTATCTTCAGTTGTTGGAAACATTTGGCCCGTAGCAGCATTGTTCAATTTGTCAATCTCTGAATCCACAGAATAGCACATCGGACTTGTCCCCGCAGTTCAACAGAGTGCACGACTTTGTTTAGGAAATCCAATAGGAAGGCGGAGAAAGATGGTTTCTGGAGTGAGAGGCCAAGGCTGAATGTTGCTAGTACCTTCCTCCATATTATTTCTCTCTCTCTCTCTCATGTAGATAAACTCACCGGGATCAGAAGGAGGGAATATATTCTTATGCAATCGGATTCCAGCCAAAATGAAGATGTTACTACTATCCCATAATAAGTCACTCGCTTCATTTTCAATCAAAGTTTGCTCTGCTCTTCGAGAACAATTAGAAAACCCCTGAAGCACAGTAGTTGTGGAGTTCTCTGTATCCCCGTATGTTATTACTATACCTTCTCCTTCAATAAAGACAAAATGAAGCCCATAGTTATCAAGAACAGGAGTGGTATTACTGCAAGATTCACTCTTCGACTCCATATTTCTGCTAAGAGCAAGACCAAGATTCACTATCCAATTTCTTGTAGCTCTAAGGTATGTGGTAAGAAAATTCGATCCAGGATCAAAGGGAAAGTCTAATCCGAAATGATCAGGTGAAAATGGATGCAAAGGCAAGACAAGATCAGCATGACCAAGGTCACTTAAGTGACTAAATATACCTCTGTTTAGAAGTTGGTCATAAATGCAAGCTAAAAGCACACAAAACTCGCCTCCAAGTTTTGGGCTTGCCCAAGTCCATATCGATCATCAATCATGACGAGGTTACTGGAAATAGAGAATGGAGAACCAACCCATAATGGAGCCTTCGCTACTATTGTAGTAATAACTATTTCTTTATTATCCTTGTCTTTATTTTCAACGACACTAGCACTATCATTTGCCGCATCAGTCGGAGCAACATGATACAGCGAATCAATAGATAAATGGGTCTCAGTAGTCTCAGTTGTCAGCGTAAGCTCTTGTGTGGTTCCTGCATAACATTTGGCTCGGGAATAACATCTTTAGACCAATAAGAGAATTCATCGGATACCTTGCACACCCTATTGTTGCTGTTATAGTCATATAGTTCAACCAAGTATTGTGGCAAAAGGGATTCGACTTCCTCTTTGTCTTCATCCAAAACTGAATTGCAGATCTCCTTAGGTGTTGATAGCTTTGTTTCAGTATCGACAACAATTTTATTTTCCCTATTTGGCTTTTCCACAAACACCTTGTGGGTAATGTTCAGGTTGGTGTTCTCTGAGTGCACATTCCAGTATTGAGGCAAGGGCAAGTTGGTCATGTTGCTTCATGACGGTATAGCAGTAGCCCGTGCCGGATAAGCCTCCACTGCGGTAAGCTTTCGAAGAAAGGCTAAACGCCTGTCAGGTGCTTCCCGACTCCGAGCTCGGTAATGAATAAACAGTTTTTCCACGAAATGGTCCCAATCCTCAAGTTTGTTTCGAACTAACCAACAATACCAATCCAAAGCCTCACCATCCATGTATAAGGAAGCCAATGACAATTTATGGCCTGGAAAAATGTTATAGCGAGTGAAATACCGCTCTACCTGAAATACCCATGCCGCAGGATCATCACCGTTGAATTTGGGTATTTTTATTGATGTAGCTTCCATGGATGCATGCAACCCAGGGAGAGATTGAGGAGCGGTCCGAGCCATTTTCCCCACTAACTCCTGTAACATATATCGCATCTCAGTTATATCCGTGGAAAAGGAATCCTTCACCTCCTTCGCAGATTCAACAACGAGAGCCTTGAGTTTTACTTTTTGGTCCTCTATTGGATACCTCTGGATGAAAGCACCAATGTAACAACCTCCAAATATTAACACTCACAATAACAGAAGAAGACTGATTGTTCAATTAATAACCAAAATACATAAGGAATGTTACAGAAGGATAGAAGAACAGTAACCTAGAAGAAGGGGATGAGAATGCAGAGGACACAGAATAGGGGATGAGAGGACTCAGACATTTTACTCAACAATAATCTGCTGCCTATTTTTAGCCTAAGGTACTGCTAGTTATTAATTCGTCATACCTCACATGTTCCTAACCCGGGTCCCACAAATAAGTTTCTAAGTTTCCATCCATGCCCTCCCAAATATTAACTACGTTCATAACAGCCTTCTTGAAGGGCCCTCCTAATGTAACGGCTTTGAAGCGCTTGCATATTTTTGGCAGTCTTCTTAAATATTGGTAAGTGCTTCTATGTATTTGGCATGAACTGATTGGGAACCTAAAGGTAGGTTGATTCGACATCTAATATAATGCTGGAAAGCTCCTTTCTTGATATCTGAATTTGGTTGTTTTCTTGCTTCGCACCCCTTTTCCTTCATCTGCATCCCTTTTTCCTTCATCTGCACCTCTTTATCCTCTCTGGTTGGTCATATGATGTTATTATCTCTTCTCATTTAAACAATCATGCTATTATCTGTTGTTTTAATGATCCCTCAGCTCCATGTTGCTTCTCCTCCTCTTTCTAAGGGTGGGCATATTTCGGTCAGAACCGAAGAAACCAACCGAACCGAAAATATTTTTATTTCGGTTTCGGTTTTTTCGGTCGGTTTCAGTTTAAAATTTTAAAATTTCAGTTTTTCGGTTCGGTCGTTGGTTATTAATTTATTTGGTTCGATTAACCAAAAAACCAAATTATTAGCAGATAGATTCTTTAAGTAATATAGGCTAAGCCCATAGTTAATAATATAGGCCCAATTTTGAAGTCCATCAAAGAACCAGCCCAAATTCTGAACAGGTAGGGCAGTAGCATGAATATTTTGTCACTTTGAACCTTAAAATGGCAAAAGCTTATTATCACATTCTTGAACAATAGTATGGGCAAATCAAATTTATAAAAATAACAAACCAGATTTATGATTTATCACATTCAAGCAACACAAGAAACCGAAATTTTGAAAAAAAAAACAAATTCGTCAGTCCAATTATTACATAGAAAGAGCCCAATATGATAATGTTCAAACCGGAAACCGATTCGAAATAAACCAAACTGAAATTAGAAAACCGAACTGAACCGAACTTATTTCAGTTCGGTTTCGGTTACTACTTTTACGAAACCGAAAACCAAATAACCGAACTGAATTTCTTCAAACCGAACGACCGAACGCCAACCCCTACCTCTTTCCATGGAGAAGTACTTTGTATTTATTCACTCAACTTTTTTTGTTTTTCTGAAATTCCTCGCTAAGAACTCTCTCTTTAAGTTATTTTAGGTTAGTGTGACAAACTATTCGCTTTTGACTCCGTTTCTTTTCGCATCTAAATACTTCATTTGTTGTTGAAATTTGATAATTTTGATTGCCCTTCTTATATCCCCTTTATTTCTTCTACTTTCAAAGAGTCCTGTTTCACATGCTTTTAGGTAATTTAATAGTAACAACTCTCTAAATTTTAGAGGATACCCCAACGGTCTTGAGCATAACTAACACTAAGATATATGTGATGTAAGTCTTCCTCCTGATTTAATATATATATATATATATATATATATATATATATATATATATATATATATATATATATATATATGTCTACCTCCTCCCCCCTATGTAGGTGCATAGCAATCCATGTTACATGTTAATGTCGAGGTGTTATCTGTATATATGTTTTAGAATATATTGGAGGAAAACTTCTTCCTTCCCTTTTCCCTTTTCTACACCGCATTACTGAACACAATATTAGGGAATAACTATTTGACAAATGGAGGAGAAGCTAATGTGGCCTTGAATTTTAAGGACAAGAATCACAGGGAAGACCATTTTATCAAGTTTAATTTGTAGTACTATTAGCGTTCACATAGATTCTCCTCCACTGTCAATAACTATTTGAATGAAGTAAAAATCATATCAATCAAGTTTAAAAGCAATTATATTTTTTTCTATTTCTATCACAAGATGTAGCTTTATGTTTTTTCAGAGGTAATTTTCTTATAGCAAGTTTGATTTATTATTCCTAATCACTAAAAAATCTTTCCTAACATTTTAACGATTAATTAATCAGTTTATCAACTATATTTATTCTCTAGTACTGTGCTTTGAAAGACATAGTCCATAGGTGATGAGGCACACATCGTAGTATCTTAACTCCTGAAGTAAAGCGCAACTTAAGCGAGGCGGAGCTCACAACCTGCTTTTACCTGAACTATAGTGTTTAAGTTAAGTGCAAAGAATTTTATAGTTGTATGAAGGGACTTTTCATTTTCTCAGGATTGACCTCGGTATTTATTTATCGTGACATATATTAATGATGAAAACTCTTACCATAAGCAAGTGGTCAAGATATTTATGTATTAGAGGCATCTTGTACGACGCTATGATGTGTAAATTCATAAAAAATGTGTATATATGTATAGAGATACATGGCTTTTTTTCTTTCTCTTCTGATAAGCTTTTATATATATACACACACACACACACACGAATGTATATGAGCCTGTATATATAAGCTTCTCAGTTTTGTTGCCGGCTAGACTGTATTCACCTGGTAATAACAAAGTATATCCTCCATCTCCCTGCCAAACACACAAAAGAAACTAAAGGATTATTTATTTATTTTTTCTTCTGTGGAAGGTTAAGATAAGCTAAAAGATGGAAGACAGAGAGATGGTGATCTTACCTAAAATGATAATTTAAAATTTGGCAAACAAAATGACTGACTGATAATTATTAGTTGCTATTCTGTTTTACATTATCCTCTTAGTACCTTTTGCAGTTTACACTTGCGTCGTCTCCCTTATGCTGTGTTGTTTCATGCTAAATAGGCTCTATTGGAATCTATGGGTGTTAGTGGATCTACTGGACCAGAAGCTGTTGCTGCTGCTGAAAAGAATGCTGCTATGTTGACAGCTAGGGCTGGTGCGAGAGACCCGTCTGCAATTCCATCTATATGCCGTATTTCTGCTGCTCTACAATATCCTGCAGGTGAGTTTTCTTCTTCATTTCAATGTGTTATTATCGCTTGAATCAGATGTTAGGTAGCCAGTTTTATTTTTCTCCAACTTCTAGAATAGTTTTCACCACTATAATTTAGCAATAGCCATTATTAAAATGCATAAGAGGACTTGTTTAAGAATAAGGTCTTTTGACCTGAGATGTTGTTTATCTGGACCTGGAACTTAGAAACATAGATTATTTTCCACGGAGACCTGAGGCACCAGAGCTCCTTTGGTTTGACAAGAATGTGACCCCTGATAGAGTATTTGTGTTGAGAGTACATCCAAAAATTGTGGATAGAGCCACAAGAAAGAGCCAAAGAAGAAGATGTTGACGCAAACTTGATCTGTTATTCTTTCAGATTTGCTGGAAAACGGTTGATTACTCATGTTTTCAGCTGATAGAGTGCCAACTGATTTGCAGTGGCATTCATTACCAATTACCAATATAAAGTAAAAGTGAAAGAAAAAAGAAAAGATATCTCTCTCTCTCTGATAGTAATACAAAACAATACTATTGAAAGTCCTCTACCAAGTCTAAAACCTATTCCCAACTAGTAGGTATTACCTGTATGGATCTTTATCTTCCATTGTACCCTATTTTTAGCTAAGTTTGTATTGATTCCAAGAAATAGTATAATAATAATAATACTATTGAAAGTCCTCTACCAAGTCTAAAACCTATTCCCAACTAGTAGGTATTACATGTATGGATCTTTCTCTTCTATTGTGCGCTATCTTTAGCTAAGTCTGCATTGATTCCAAGAATTTGTAGGTCTTTTGAGACAACTTCCTTCCATGTAATTTTTAGGTCTACCCCATCCCTTTTAGGCCATCCAACCCATCTTTTAAATCCTTGCACCTGTATCCTTGCCCCCGAACTTAAAATTTAGATCATGAAGGATCCAACCTCTAGACCCGCATCCGTATCGGACCTCTGCACCTTAGTCCGAGCAACTTAGTCCATCACTATAGTTTCACACCTATGTATTGATGTATCTGTAGGTCGATGCAGGACATGACCGAACCATCTCAAGCGACCTTCTCTCATTTTATCCTCAATGTGTGCTACTTGCACCTTTTTTTGTCCTCAGTGTGTGCTCTCTCATTATTCATACAGTGATATGAATAATGATGAAAATTGGCATAAAAGGTATTGAAGTGTGTGACCATCTCATCTAAATTACTTATAATTATATTAAATCTCAACATGCCCCCTCTCGTGTAGGCTTGATCTTTTTATTTATGGGCCAAACACGTAGAAATTCTTTTTTATAATGGGTGATTGAGGCTCGAACCTAGGACCTCTTGCCTGCTTTGATACCATGTTGAAGTGTGTAGTTAGAGTGGGCACACCCATAATTACTGAAATATATTTAGTCTCAACTGTGGATACGAAGAAACCATTTGTAGAGGAGAGAATAAGGGTGTACAAGGGAGAGGAGTTGTTGTCTCTTTTGGTTGCAAGGGAGTTGAGATTTCTCTTTATTCTTGTGAAGATTAGGCTGAAGAATGAAGATGACGAGTGGCAGACTGAGTACTAAAAGATAATATCTCTCATTTATAGGTTGTTCAATGTTTGAGTTAAGGAACTATAAAATCTACTACTCCCTCCGTTCCAGTTTATGTGAACCTATTTCCTTTTTGGCGAAAAGAATGACCCCTTTCTAAATTTGGAAAAAAATTTAGTTTAAACTTACAATTCTACTCTTAATGTGAAGCTTTTATAATCACACAAATACTCTGGGCCCCTTTTTGACTTGTTTTGGACCACAAATTCCAAAAGTCTTATTTTTTCTTAAATTCCGTGTCCAGTCAAACATGTTCACATAAATTGTAACGGAGGGAGTATAAAAGTAGTTCTTTTAGCTCCCGTGGTGCCAAAATCCGGAAAAATAGCTTATTCTTCAATAATCAGATGCAATGAATATGTACTTATTTTGCATGCTATCTAGATATTCTAAACTCATGCCGTGAATGAATACAAGTTTTAGACCCCTGAATTTCCCCACAAATTAAGAAAATATCAAATAATAACATAAAGTGGGAAAAAAGAGAAGAGTGGCTGGAAGCCTAGACAATCATTATCTATCAATCATCTCTCAGGAAGTAGAGCAAAATGAATCGTCTTTTGAATTCTCATTGTTGAAGGTGTAGAGAATCAATGAAGAAGCTTACTGATTTAATTGAAGGGAACTAAGACAATTAGCTTAGCTAGCATTCCAAAAAAAACCTATCTCTGGAAAGCAAAATTTGCATTTGGGATCGGGTGGAGCCCTTAAATCAATTGGAAAATAGCATAGCTATTATTGACTTGATGGTGACTCTTGTTCCCATGAATACAACCTCTTGTTCCCAGTTCTTGGATCTTTAGACTAATATTCTTTTGGAAGTTATTTTTGTTGATTGTGTTTAATCTAACTGTATATCATACCATTGAGTGTTTTAGATGGAAAAGATATTTCAGTGTCGTTAGTCAGAGTGTTAAGTCTGTCGACTTGTCTGGCTTGGTTAGAACAGCTATGGGCCTATAGTTTCTGGTGCAGCTAGCAGATCTTAAGGGACTATAAGATGGATATAGTTTTCAATTCTAGGTGCCTAATTGGACCAAAAATTTAACCACCAGGGCCATCTGAGTGTTAGAAACAGTAAGGGAAATTCTACCTGATTGGATACCCGGACATCTGAGCTTCTATCAATGCCCAACATGAAAATATAACCAGCAAGGAGAAACATCAGGAACCAGGAAGGATGTGATAATTTGCAAAACCTTCAACAATTAAGGCAATATAAATCACCTCAAACCCATATAGGTATACGGCGTGCTTGTGATTACTCTATCCCATAACAAAATCACAAGAGATGACCTAAACCATGAGTAATCAATCTGAATAAAACCTATATGAATGAGTCTCTTCAGCTCATTGTTAGCTTGTTATGTTGTTTTTGTAATATGTACTAGATCTGTTAGACACAATTGCTTTATTGAACTTTAGATACTCCATACCACGACTTTCTTGGATTTTATATTAGGCATTGTCTTTTGAACTTGCCTTTGCATTCCTTGATGTCATACCTTTTACACGTAATGATTATTGTATGTACATCTTTTTTTTTTTTTTTTTTTTGACTTGAGTATTTAGGTTTGGATGGCTCAGATGCCGGCTTAGCAGCAGTTATAGAATCTTTGGGATTTTGTATGAAGCTTCGTTGTTCTGAAGCTTCTATATTGGAAGACTTGGAAAAGGCAATCAACTTGGTTCACACACGACGAGATCTTGTTGAAAGTGGTCGTGCCTTATTAGACCATGCTTACAAGGCACAAAATGAGTATGAAAGGTGCGGCAGAGGTCATGCATCAATTTTTCCTTTTGTTTTCTTGGTCGAATCCTTGCTTATTTGCAATGCACAAGTTTTTTTAGTGCTTATTCAAACCAGAAACCAGGTGCCTTTACAAAAGATTGAACTCTAGTGCCTGGAATATTGTATTTCATTGTTGGACATTTGGCTTGACCAATATAGGTTGATTGGTTTTATTACCCGTGCTTTGTAGGACGACAAACTACTGCTTAAATCTGGCTGCTGACCAAGAGAAGACAGCGACTGAGAATTGGCTACATGAATTGGATGTAGCTATTGATAATGCTAAACACTGCCTTGACGAGGAATGCAAGTATGTTCGGGGCCTGGTGAGTAATTTTTGTCGCTATGTATTTGTTTACCAGTTTGTTGAAGTAACATCTTATAGGTATCTTAGAGCTCAGTTGGATAAAATGATGGAATTACGCATTTCTATTGGTCTTATACGTTCAATCTATTTAATACTTTGAGATGGACTGTGTCAATAACCAAACTTGTATTACATGCTGTCAATTATCTATCCGGACACAGACATGGTCCGTGAGAGTGTCCAAAAAGAATGTAGGACACGCCACAAAAGACTTACTTTTTTTAATGACAAAAAGACTATATTTTACTTAATTAAGTGTATTTTGTAAATCATTTTCTTTGATATTTATCATTTCATGTCAGCTAAATGAAATCTTTACATCTATGCTAGATTGACCTCCGTGGATGAATTTCAAGATCTTTCTGCATGATTGCATGAACAGAAAGTACTTCATGTGAAGTGCCAAGTACCCATATGTGGGAAACAATTGAGTTACCTTAATTGATCCAAAGATTGTTTTGAATTTGTTTGGTGTTGTCAGAAGGCCAATTCATCATGCTTCAGTTTTGTTAATTCAAAAAAGGGGAAAGCAAAAATAAGGGTCTAACTTCGGAGAAAAAAGGAATTCAAGCTCTTTAACTAAGATATCTTGATGATGCTGTTATGTCTTTTTTTTATTTCCTTTCTCACATACTCATCTTTGTTTTGTTCTGGGAAGTTTACTTTTTATGAAATGTGATATTGTGGAATCTTTTACAGGTAGATGAATGGTGGGAACAACCAGCATCAACTGTAGTTGACTGGGTTACTGTTGATGGACAGAATGTTGCTGCATGGTGTAATGATGTGAAGCAGCTTAAGGCATTTCATGATCAGCAACTTCGTTGAATTCGATTCTTTGGCAGCTGTTACACTATGTCTGTAAATTTTCCTTTTCTCGCTTGCTAGTTCTCTGCAACTTCTTGGGGGTTTTGGTATTCGTCGATGCTGGGTTTCTTGCAGCAGCAGCAACAAAGCAGGTCACCTGCAAACCTAGGCGGCAGTTGTGGAAGAACAATTGAGACTTCAACCTAGACCTAGGGACTGTAAGAAATTTTGAGCCAACACTAGTCCGGGGTTTGGGGGTGGGGGGGAATTTGTTCGAGGTTGAAATGCAGGTCCAGTGCAATATCTTCTTGTTGCATTTCTTATTTTGTACAGAAATTCTTGTGTTATTTTGAAAAAGAAAAGAAGAACAGCTTACGTATGGAAATCTCAAGGACCCAGTTATAAGGTGGTCAGCATGTCACAGTATGTGAGCCTCGTTATATTGTCCTGTAACACGTTCTGATTGATGAGACAAATCGTTAATGGTACTTTTCTTAAAGAATTTGGTAACTGAACCAAAGAGTTAACGAATTATTAGATAGAAGCTACAGATTTTTAAGTTTGAAGTGTATCTATTTGTCGAATGATGAATTAAGGGCAGACATACTAATTGCAATTATAACTTTGTCCAACATGGAATATATTCCCGAAGGGTTAAAAGTCTATCTACATTATAGTTAATTTTGCCTGATTTTGTGACATCTACCACAGTAACTGTTTTTGGTTCTAAGAAGCTTAAAGGATTTCACATGAATGCAGGACCAGACTTGCTGGAATTCTTTTTTCTTTATTTTCAGTTTTGATAGGGGTAAATGTATTAACTGTAAAAATAAAAATAAGCAACAATCTCGTGGCCTCTACCAGCTTAAAAGTTGGATAACCAAGACCCATACTATTTTGTAGGTCTATTCTATTTTGTACAACGTAATTTTTTAATGAAAGAAATCAATTGAACTCCTTCGAACCATGTTGCTCCCCCTGTGCAGGGCGGATCCACCCTTACAGTACCGAGTTCATCTGAATCTAGTATTTTTGACGTGGAACATAAATTTATGTGTAAAAATTCAATAAAATTATAACAAATATTAGATATAAATGCATAACTTTAAAAATATAATGGGTTCAATATAAAATCTTAAAAGTTAGAATTTGAATCCTGAATCCACCTTTGCCTTTGTGCGCAAGCAAATTGGACCAACCGTATCATAATTTCATAATATCAAGAATTTTGTAAGTCCTACAGAGGTCTCGTGAACCAACAAGGACCCAACTGTCTCCTCTTGGTAATTCTCATTCTTTACCAACTGAAAAAAAGAAGCAGCAACAAACTCATTAAATTAAAAATGACAAGAAAAAAGATAAAGTGAAGCAAGTTGACATAATTCCAATCTGTATTCTTGTCTTTGTTTGGTGATAACAAGGTGAAACTACTTTTGCAATTTTGCAGTTCACAAGTCTTGCATGAGCAGATAAAGAGGAATTGGGCAAACATCCATTATCAATTTATGTTTTAACTGTCCATATTCTACTGTATAAATCTCCCACACCAATAACATCCCTAGTATAAAATCTTATTACTAGCTAGGAAGCCAAGCAATGACTCATGAGAGTTGAAGTCTTCATTCTTTTGTTTGAAGTCTTCAACTTTGTACAATCTAAAAGATGATAAACAAGAGACTATCTCGGTTTTGGATTATAAACCTCTTCCTTGGTTTAAAATTCTATAACCTTTCAGTTTCACAGGCTAGGCCTATTTCCAGACATCACCTAACTGCTGTTGTTATAGGGACTGTTCTCTGTGATGCTTGCTACCACCAAGATTTTTCAAAGGATAGTCACTTCATTTCAGGTTCATCATCCTTGTCACCTTTTTTATAATAGTAGATTATCGGATTTAACTTATATATACTAACACTGTAAAGAATACCTATCGTAGTAGGTAACCTGCAATATTTGCTAGGTTACTGATCCTACTTTTTGTGGACGGTTACATGTATCTAGTTATCTTTTACGTGACCTGACAGAGTAAATTATTTTACACTGTTAATATATATTTTCTTTCTTGGGAGACTTCTAAACTTTTAATGCATGTTTATGCTTTTAGGAGCTATTGTTGCAGTAGAATGTGCAAATGCGGATAAAAGATCAAGTTTTTACCAGGAAGTGAAGACGAATAAGCATGGAAAATTCAGTGTACACCTTCCTTTCTTGGTGGACAAATATGTCAAGCAAATTAAAGGATGTTCAGTTAAGCTGATCAGCAGCAGCAAGCCACATTGTGCCGTGGCGTCAACAACAACTTCATCTTCTTTCCAACTCCAATCGAGGAAAAAACGGATACATATTTTCTCTGCTGGATTCTTCACTTTCAAACCTGTTAACCAACCAAAGCTCTGCAACCAAAAGCCAAGTAGCCATAGTATCTACAATAAAGAAGTATATGCGCAGAAGTCTTTAACTTCAACTCCTAATGATCACACATTTTCTCAACCAATTCACGGTACACCATCAAGTTTTACTACCATAAAACAAGGGTTGCTTCCACCTCTTCCAAGATTGCCTCCTTTGCCGGAGCTCCCTCCTCTACCACCTCTTCCATTTTTACCACCAATTTTTCGTCCACCTCCAACGTCTCCGCCTTCAACATTTCCTCCATTTATTCAACCACCTATACCAGTTTTAACTCCTCTTTCACCTCCAATGTCTCCACCTTCAATATTTCCTCCAATTATCCCAACACCTATACCAGGTTTAACTCCATTACCACCACCACCTCCGCCACCAACATTCCCTCTCCCTCCGTTCCCATTCCATCCCATACCTGGCTTCCCTGGAGTTCCTCCTGCTACCACTTCATCTCCAGAGAAAAAGAACTCTCCTTAGTCCAAACACAAATATAAAAACACCTGCAAATAGCTAGTAGTTTACATCAAACACTATTTACAACTCTCAATCATTCCCTTGGGTCCAAGGCTGAATAAAAGAAAGAAAGAAGATATATTGAAGACTTGGTGATAAAGCAAATACAAAACATTAAGCTAGCATTCTAAAAGACCTTTTTCCTGTTACTTCCTCTTCATGCTTGTAGGTTTGTTGTTTAGAAAGCATATAAGATGGGACATGGAGGGTCAAAATGATTGTATAATATCTAATAGTTCTTCAATAAAATCTAACTATTAACAGGTGACTGCAGTGTTTGCTAATGTAATGAATTTAAGAATTAAAGATATCTGTATTCTGCAAGAATGTGAAGAATTATGCCTACACTCTTCCCCCAAAGGCCAACAGCTCCTCTGTTTGGCCAATGCTCAGATTCAGGTGTTCAATAGGTAAATACCACAGTTGAGGTGTCAAAATGAAAAATGGTGACAATTTTAAGGGGCTGGCCATGTATTCAGCCTAATTCCTTTGTTGCACTTGGACTGGACAAGATGGAGTAGTTAGCTGCTTATCTGTAATATAAAGTAGTATATATGGTGACTGTCTTTGGAAAATAGAACTAACTGATTCCTACAACCTGTACTAGTCAACGAGGCGGAGTTGAACATTCTTACCATTCAACTACAACTTGATTCAGAGAAGCAAAAATAAGCTACGTAGCAGAGCTAGCAAGAATTAGTTATCACTCATTGTTATTATCATGATAAGTATTATGCTCTGCATGCATGTGCTCATAAACAACAACTTCAGCGGATAAGGTTTCTTTTAGCTACATTATTAAGGTCTTTTTCCTTCCCCCATATGATTAGGCATAGAAAGAATTGAGTATGTTGATGTAGACCTAAACCAAATGAATAAAATCATTTATTAGAAACTTATAATTTACTCTTACTAATGAGGTTTTAACTTAATTGCAATTTGATATAAATTATATACAAAATAATGTATAGTCTCTAATCTTCCTTATTTTATCTCTCCCTCTTTCTGTTTCTCATGCTTGAAATTATATCTTCGTTCTAGTATTTGCCGCTCTAATTCGCTATATGATCATTGGTGCAATACTATTTCACTTCATATGCTGATTAACCCTCATTATGTTTTCTCTTTCTTTTTGTTTTTTATGTTAAAGAATAAATACCAATGATCACTTCTGAAAGGGGAAGATCTTTAATTTCTTTTAGTTTTTTTTGGAATCAATAAACTAAAAAGTATTAATTAGAAGCGAGTAGATTGAATTGGAAACTTGTTAATACATTAAAAACTCTATTGATAGTCATTAAAAAGTTTTGAAGCTTTAAATTCGAAAATCGAATTTTACAAAATTATAATTTGTTTGGATTGGGTGTTGTTGCAAATGATTGAGAATATTCTTTGGAGTTTTTATCTCAATTTCCAGAGAATTTGGAAACTCGAGTTGATTTTAGTCAGAATTTTAGATTGAAACTCGAAAACAACATAAATAAATTGTATATATTCAGGTGTACAAAACATGCAAAATATCTAAGACTAACATAATTGCATAAAAATTGTAATAAATTATAGCTTTTTAACTTAATTCTACATTTAAAAAAAAAATCATATACAAGTTGTATATAAGTCCCATGTAAATTGTAGCTTTTGACTACGACAAAAAATTATATTCAAATTGTATATAGATTGTAGCTTTTAACCAGATTTATATATATTATGTAAAAAAGTTTAGTTACTTTTAATAAATAAGAAAACCTAGCTTAACCGGGTGAATAAGTTTAAAATTTCGTATATACACCAAAAAAAAAAAAAAATCCCCCAAGGCAAACCTGAATTAGAAGGGCCAGTGAAGCTTCGGATGGTTATTAAGAATAAAAATAAGAAACATAAGCACGCACCAAATATTTAATAATCTCCGATGACAAAAGTGCTGAATTTCATTCTTAACATGATTCCAAAGAAAAAGGCTAAACTGGGAAAGATTAAGTAATATTATAAAATCAAAATGAGAATTAAAAGAAACGACATACTGAGATTTGCAACAAACTTGGAATTCTTCTTTAAACTCACTACGAAACCAGACCAGACTTGTAAAAGACAGGCCTAGCCACATCGAACGATTAGGTATGAGAAAAGTTGCTAAAACCAAACTGATAGATATTTACAAGACTGAGAAACAGGAAAAGAAAGTGAACTAAGATTTAACTTCTAAATCAAATACCCTTACAAATGAAAATGCAGCTTCTCATACTCAAATGGAAGCCTTTTATCCTATGGGGAAAAGAAGACAAATACTACAGCAGTCTTGAATGATTTGAGCAGCCCAGCAGATGAAAGACCATCAGCATGCACAGTAAACCAAGTCCACAGGCACCGACCTCTTCAAGTGTCTCGCCGACAAAACTACAACTATGATTCAGAAGAATTAGGAGCGGAATCATCTTGCTAGAGTGACAATCACATGCTACCTTCTGTTCTAAGCCTTTTACGAGAGTGATCATAATTATCTGGAGTAATTAACGTTGTAGCAGTGGTTCCACTACTTGGGCATTTTGCAATATCAAGCTGTACTTTAACATTGGCCTGTGATAAATCCACTCCCATAGATGCTAGTGTCTGGTTTAAGGTGCTCAGCAACCTGTTCAACAGCAAGACCCAATATGTCACCAAATAGAATCCAAAATCAGTAAGCATCATAACATAATGCAGATCAACAAGCAACTTCGAACCAAAACATGCCACAGGCCACAAGGTCCAGAGGGCAACTACTCATGTCAGAATAATATGTACATCAGTTTGTTATTCATTTATCCATTGTAATGGGAAGTCTGGAAAAAGTTAAAGTTAGGCTCAAACCTCAACTTCCAGATATCTGCTTGTTATTTGGAGGCGGATTCAGGATTCGACTTTTAAAGTTTGTAGCACTAAACTCAATGTACCTTTGAAATATTATGGGTTCAAAATCTATTATTTGTTATAACTTTAACGATTTTTCACACACACACACACACACACATATATATTCCGAGTAAAAAATACTGGGTTCAAATGAACCCGTAGCTCAAAAGCTACATCTGGCTCTGTTGTTAAACATAATACGTGTAGATAAACCTAGATTTCTATTTGATGGCTCAGGTAGAAAAGTTGGGGAGCCATGATATATGCAGGGAAACTGGATTAATATTTGATTGCTTAGGTAAACAAGTTGGGGCACCAGATATGAGGACTTCCTTCAGGCCAATAAAATCTTTTCTGGTTAGGTACTTTATTCACAGAAAAGAATGGAGCCGGTGCTGTAGGTTTTACAAAAAGCCATACCTTGGAGCTCAAACAGGTTACAATTTGCATCAAGTCTACTTGCTAATAACCACGTGACACATTAAGCAAATCTGAATCCGTTTCATGTGCTTGGCTATCACAGTAGTATTCTATTATGTCCAGTTTTAGGTAAGAAATAACATGACCTAGACTGCCACTAGGCCAACTGGATCCAAGGGACTCAAGTGATACTACTTCATGTCTACTTCGTAGGTGTAATACAAGTTTGGTGCCATTACCAAAATTAGCGTAAAAGACATAAATTTGAATTTCCACCTTACCAGAAAATCCATGTCAAAGTTAATGAAGTCCTGAATAATCATCTTACCTTTGAGAATACACATTTGAGATGCCAGCTTCTTCACCATCAACTTTCACTTCTTCTTGATCATTTCTACCATAGCTCGGAACATCAGAGTCGATTGCATCCTGTTTACCTGGCCAATATAACGATTGCGGCTGGGAAGCGCAATGCTCAGCATCAGGAGACGATTGAGAAGGTTGAACGGATGCATTTTCAAATAGATTACACTGCAGTGGCATGTTAAAGGCAACTGCTTCATTCGCTTCCATATGGGGCTCATCTGTATATAAAGCAGCGGCACTCAAGTTCTGTTCTACAGAGTTCTGTGCACTTGTAAGTAACGTAGGGTTAATGACAATATTATCTTCATGAGTAGAGCCATTTCTGATTATTTGAGACTGTTCTACAAAGCCTTCTACAGGCCCAGAAGTGCTTCTCTGTCAACAATAAGAGAAAAACATTAGTTTCACTTTCAGAATAAGCATTACTGCATACATCCTAAAGTTGTGCATCGCTTACTCCTAAAACAGCCTGAACTTGGGCAATTAGGCTTTGAAGGGACGAAAAAGGAAAAGAAAATGTTAAGCCTCCGTTTAAACAGTAAGCAGGAGTTTCTGATACAAAACAGCTAACATCTGGATTTTTCCGTACTTGGAGAAGATCGAGAATAACTAATGAATTACGAATTTATTGTACAGCAACTGGGGCATACGGTACATATTTTTACTTTAGTTACTGTTCAGAGAATAATATCTGCAGGGAAATTAAAGCACTCACTCAAACGATTTTATATAGGCTCAGTTTAATACTCCTGGATCAAAAAAAATCTGCTTTCAAATAGTGCACTGATTGCATTAAAGGGGCATCCCGGTGCAATAAGCTCCCGCTATGCGCGGGGTCCGGGTAAAGGCCGGACCATAAGGGTCTATAGTACGCAACCTTACCCTGCATTTCTACAAGAGGCTGTTTCCACGGGTATTTTCCAACATTAAAGATTACTGCACCAAGGCATGAGGTAATGACGAATCTTCTCAAGAAAAAGCATAATAAGAAAGAAACTGCTGTCATTGAAAAAGAAGGAATGACATGTGGAGCAAGTTCCAATTTTCTTTTAAGAGTATTTGAGAAGAGATTTGCCAAGCCAATATACCACTCCCACACAATGGTATGCAGGAAAAAGCACGGGTTTAATACATGAGCTAGGTTTATCAGAATGTCTTGCCACTTCCGAAAATATGACGATTCAAGGAGATGCTGATCTCAAAGAAAAAAGAAAAAGGGAAAAACGCTGAACTACCTGACAAAAACTGAGAGTTAGCTTCTTCTTTCTGTAACCAGCAGAGGAGTTGAGAATTGAATGAAAAGTTATGATAGAAGCTTTGCTTTTATAGGCAACAGGCATGATCGCTACAGTTGGTTACCAAAACGGAAAGGGTCTTTTCAAGAATAAATTCTTAAGAGTGGGAATCCTAATTTCCTTGAAATGTGGAGAAGAGTTCCATATCAAAAATCAGTTTTAACACTTTAACTAACTCAACCAAGATTGTTATTGATCAGCATCTTCGAAGATCCACTCGCTAATATTATAATAGAAAAGAAGAGGAATTTATCTACTATTACTTTTTCGTTCTGATGAAGTAAGTGGCGTATTAATAACAAAAGCATCCAGTGGATGCATGTATTACAAAATAAAAGAAGATATCACCTCCTAACAAGAAAGCAAAAAAATCTATCATAAGACTAGAGAGCTGATAAATTCCATGAATTGGTCAGGGTTATACATAGGGGAAAATTTAACACAACAAAAAGAGTGATCAAACATCTAGCCTTGAGTAGGTATCTAGCAGTTGAGATGCCATTAGAGCATCTTTGATTCCTTTCTGTCCATAAGCACCACAAAATAGCAGCAGGAACCATAGACCAGATTTTCTTGATGGACTTCTCAACTTTCCAGAACTCCAACTCACAAAAACTTCTTTGACACTGCATGGCATTGTCCAATGCAATCCAAAAGTGAAAGAAACCTGGACCATATGTCTGTTGCAACTGGACAATGAAGAAATAGATGGTTGATTGTTTCAGAGTTGCTTTGGCACATATGGCATCTGCTAGCAAGCTGAAGACCCCTTCGGATGAGATTGTCATGGGTTAGGCATGCTCCATTTAGGGTTATCCAGCAAAAAGCACCGACCTTTGGAGGCATTTTAGTCCTCCAAATTAGTTTCCAGGGCCACTGATCAATCATTTCCTTCCTGGAGCTTAAGGTTTGATAACTAGCTTTGACGGAGTATGCACCACTCCTACTGCTGCACCATCTGAGTTTGTCCCTACCTGGAGTAATGGTTGAACTATTGTGAAGGCTGCCAAGAAGTGCTACCAAGTCATCAAACTCCCAGTCATTCAGATTTCTTCTTAAGCTTGGGTTCCATGAGTTAACCTCCCAATTCAGCGAAGCTATAGAGTCTGGGTTAGTAGCAATAGAAAATAGTCTTGGATAAGTATCCTTCAATGTTGTACGGCCTAACCACTTATCTTTCCCGAATAAGATATGTTCCCCATTTCCGACCTGAAGGGTTGAATCAATAGTGAAGACATCCCACAGCTTCGTGATACCCTTCCACAACCCACATCCATAGTTAGATCAAACAGTATTGGTACACCAGTGATTTTGACAGCCATACTTAGCTTGAACAACCTCCTTCCAGAGACCAACTCCTTCTTAATTATACCTCCAATGCCATTTCATTAGCATGCTCTTGCTATGTAAAGCTAAGTCCTTTACCCCTAGACATCCAAGTGATTTAGGAAGTGTCACCTTGGCCCATTTGGCAAGGTGAAATTTATGGTTCTTGCTGTTGCCTTCCCACAAGAATGAACATCTGAGTTTATCTAGTTGCTTTTGAACTTTGACAGGAATTGGAAAGAGAGACATAAAATAGGTTGGTATGCTGGCCAACACACTATTTATAAGGGTTAGTCTTCCACCAAGAGAAAGATATTGTTGCTGCCAGGACGCCAGTCTTTCCTCAAATTTTTCATGAGCCCTTAAGTATTGGTGGGGTTGCCTGAAAATAGAACTGATTTCACTCTAAGTCCTGACAACCAGGTTTGGAAGCAGCAAACCATAGGGGCTTTCAGATAGTTTCTTTTGAAAAAAGCAGTCCAAAGTATGACTCCCTCTTATTGACCAGGCCAACTCCTTTACTAGTTATTTCTCCAAAATCAAGTCCTTTTTTTTTGAATATTTTTTATTGTTGTCAATTGAAATTTCTTTTTTTTTTTTTTCAATATTCAATATTTATATTGACAACAGTGTATCGAACAAATATAATTCATTGTGATAAATGACCACATTCCATATCTCAGTTAATCTGTGTCTAGCACCCAATGGGAGGCCTTAGCAGGTGGTAGGGAATGAACCTGTAGTGCAACACATTATATCAGCCAACATCTCTAGTTCTGGGACCACATTAACAGGGTAAATGACACTTTTTGACATGTTAATGTGTAGCCCTGACAAAGCTTCAAAAATCAACAGGGTAAGATTGAGATATTCAACTTGAGACTTCTCAGCACCACAGAAAATGAGGGTGTCATCAGCAAACAATAAGTGAGACACCGAAACTGTTAAGCCAGAGTTGCTGCCAACATTAAAACCCTCCATCCAATGCATTTTCTTCACTTTTTCCAGCATTCTACTAAGTCCCTCCATCGCTAGAATGAATAAGAAAGGGGACAAAGGATCCCGTTGTCTTATCCCTCTCTCAGGGGAGAAAAAGCCAACAGGACTTCTGTTAGCAAGAACAGAATATTTGACTGTGGAGAAGGTATATCTAATCCATCTGATCCATTCTTCACCAAATCCCATCTGCCTTAAAATTGAAATGAGATACTGCCAATTGATTTTGTCAAAGGCCTTCTCTATATCAAGCTTAAAGAGCACGCCAGGTTCACCATTTTTTTGCCTCCAATCCAAGACTTCATTAGCAACTAGTGTAGCATCTGTAATCTGCCCGCCTTTAATAAAAGCATTCTGGTAGCCAGAGGCCAACTTCCTGATCACCTTTTTAAGTCTCTTGGTCAGCACTTCTGCCACTATCTTGTAGACACTACTAGTAAGACTAATAGGTCTGAAATCTTTGAGTTCAATTGCTCCTTTCCTTTTAGGGATGACAACAATAAAAGAGGCATTAAATGACTTAACCATGTGACAGTTTCTACGGAAGTGGTTGAAAGTCCCCATGACATCCAGTTCAATTGCTCCTTTCCTTTTAGGGACGAGAGCGGTAAAAGAGACATTAAATGACTTAACCATGTGACATTTTCTATGGAAGTGGTTGAAAGTCACCATGACATCCAGTCTTACAGTATCCCAACATATTTGATAAAAGGCCAATGTAAAACCATCAGGGCCAGGGCTTTTGGCCGGTGCACAAGAGTTGTACTTTTTTTTCCTAGTAGAAATCTTAAGTCTTTCCATATGGAAGTGGAATTGACAACCGGTGATCCATATCAACGACACAATAGAATCCTAGATTTGGAGTGAAAGTAGCTAGGTCGAATTCTTTTAATAACATGGAAGCTAGCTGATGTCCTTATCTTTTGGGATTACGACAATCAACACAAGCTTTGACTACTAGTAAAAAAAGAATTACTAGTAGTTATACAAAATTCAACTCTATGAATTTCAAATGCAAAAGATAATACCAAAATAAAAGGATAATCTCAATATTTAAGGTAACGCAAAGGTGGAACCAGGATTCGAAGGTCATGAGGGTACCGTCACATTCAATATAAATTTATCATTGCTCATAAAAATTGGTACGGGAGCCTCTGTTAATATTTGACTATTTCTTGAAGAAATTTGCTAATTATATATGGAGTTTTTGCCGGAGTTCCCAAGTGTCGGTGACCCCTCTCCCTACCTAGTAGGTCCGCCACTGAGGTGATGTCTGCGTAATATTCCCACAAGAATACTCAGTTTGAAAGTTTCCAAATTGGATTTTGTTAAATGATAATGGAGTCACGTGCATTTTCATACCGATCAATGATTCAAAATTGGTTAAAATTAATTGGATTAGCAGCCAGCTAGGCCCATGAGACCAAAGAAATTTAGAGTCTCAATTGCTCTAAGTAAACATGTTGTCTTAATTCGTACTTCAAACCTAGTTTTTGATATTTGACAAGTCTTGAAGTAGAGGGCATTTGCAACCATATGAGTTTTATGGAATTAATATCCATATTAAATTTGGATGAATTCTTAAATTCAAGAAATATCAAGCCCAAATCAAAGATTAATTATTAAGTTTAACATGGATTTAAATTAAAATCCAAATGCTATTTGGGCTAGTCCATTTATTTTTTTAAACACAAAAATTTATTGTTTACAAAATTGTGGCATGCCCTTTTGGTAAATGCTTCCTCTTCAAAAATAAAGTCATGGACTTGGGCCGATGAAGGAAAAATCTTGCTCAAGGATGAAAAGTAAAGTTCAAACCAAGTCTCTGCCATTTTTGGTCTGTTGGATCGCACAGTCCTTTGCAACTTGCTAAATTACATGAATGGGAAGCTATCCTAACTGCATCACCACCAAAGATGATTAAAGTCGGTGATTTTGAAGATATGGATGATAGCACATCATTGTTCCTTCCTATAATGAACAAAGTAATAGCGAGAAAAGCAGAGGCGGATCCACATGGAGGGGCATGGGGCATGGGGCATCGTGAATCCATGCTCCCCTCCTTAGACTGTGTATTCAGTGGTATTTATCGGATAAAGTACTTATAAATCCATGTCGGAACCCATGCTCAAAACAGCATTTGGTTTAGTGGTGGCTTCGCGCACTTTTGACCCCTAGGTCCTGTGTTCGAATCTTGTTCCGTATAACATCAAAAGCCAGTTTGATGTTCTGTGACATATCTTTTTTTTTATTTTTTTGTTTTTTGATAATGGTAACAAATTTTATAAATGAGTAAAATATTTACAAAAGATTGTGTGAGCCACAATCAAACCCAAAAAATCTGAAATCCTGGATCCGGCTCTGGAGAAAAGTTCCCAATTATTGGTTCTATTGTTCAAATCCGCTTATGTTTCAAAAAATCAAACCCGAAGTCAATTCATTCAATAATGCCCCCTCGAGACATTTTGCGTTGGATTTTTCCAACACTATTTCACCTTCCTTGCTTTCTGTTCTATTTTATTCCAATTGGAATGCTAGGGATTTACGTCCTAGATTAAGTCCCAAAGTCCTAAGTTCTTCCTTTCAATTCAAGTTGACGTACTAATTTCTCTGTTAAAAGTTATTATCCAAATTGAATTTTTTAACTTTTTTTATTGGCTTCATCCTGAACGTCCCATAACTGATGGGAAATTTGTTCGAAAATAGATATTTATTAAATAATAAGTGACATTGTCCCTAGGAGAGTGAATCATGTGCTGGTCAAACTGATGATAAAGGATGGATTCTTATGGCTTGGCGGAGACGCCGCCAAAACAAGTTTACAAAGGGAATCGAGTAAACAATTGACGAGAAGAAAATTGGTGAAAAGGCCCAAGAAGCAACGGGTAAAGAAGAATCTGAAGAAAGCAAAAATGGAGGAGAATCACTATTGAAGGCTACGTTGCCCAGTGATTTGCAAGGAATTTTGCAAGGAAAATTGAGTAACAAATATAGTATTTGATTTCAAGATATGATGAATGTTACAATCTCTATATTATTCTATGATTCATCCCAACAGATATATAAAATATGTTGAACTTTGATTTTGATTCAAGTGCTTGAAAAGCATGGTCTTGAATTTCCGTCTTGAATGTGATTTGAATTATCTGCCACAAACACTTGGACGAATGATGAACTTTGATTCAATGCCACGAGCACATAGTCTTTAGCTTGGTCGCGCCTCAAATCTTGATTTGTTCTTTGCTCTTTACTTTGAATCTTTGAATGCTTGTGGAGAGTTCTTCGAAATGTTAATCTTCAGAGGTCTCTCTAGTAACTTGCCAATGCTTTTCTAGGCTCATGAAGACCTATATTTATAGTCGTAGGGAGTAAAGAAGTTGTGTAGATGGACTCTAATTCGATTGATCCATTTGAATTGACCAATCACACTGCTCCAGTGACAAGCTACATAGTTGGCACGATCCAAAACGTAATAAGTTAGAAGAACACTACAACTCTCTTCTCCGTCTTTGGGACTCTACTATTTCTATGGCCCATTTGTTTCAGTCATCTTTGTCTACTAAGGTATATTTTGTCCTTTTCTATTTTTCTGATATTTGATGTCTTACAATTGTACTTTTCCAAGACAACCTTTTACCCAAGATTTAGTCCATCTTCTATTGTTGTTGCAAGCTAGGTAGCATTGGCTTAATTACATGTTTCTACCATATGTAAACAAATTAAGTAAAAAAATTGTATCTAATCAAACTTTGATTGTTCATAATCGCAGGCTCAGACGATATTCAATCATCTTAACATCGATAAACAAGTAACCATACAACGATCCACCTAGATCATTCACGGGAACTTGTATTTTATTCTTTCATATACAATTATTTACGTAAAACTTTAATAATATCGATATTACTTGACAAAAAAGTGTACTATCGACTCGGCATACACGAGCAACGCACTTACTGATAGATTAGTATATATACAAGTTAAATTAATGCCTTAAACTCTATGCGTAGTCAAATACCAATTAAGAAGGAATGGAGAGAGTATCTTAGCAGCGGTAAGTCCATATTAACCATCTTCGGCCTCAAGGTGTAAAGGAGTTAACAGGGTGCAAAGACTTGACTCTTAAGTTGGTCATAACCAGAAACAGTCTACAACAAACAAATGTTGGACCAAAAGCCATGCAAACATTCTGAAGCTCATAGCAGAAAAGCTGGAGATCGTCCTTGAATAAGGACAGCAAACTGCTGTATTGATGCTAATAGTAGAACAGAAGAAAACATGATAAAACTTTGTTATATTACCAAGCAAAGAAAGCAACTCAGTGAGCGAGACAGGAACAGGAGAGCTGTATGCAAAATACTCCACATTACTTGAGAGTCAAAGTGAATTTAAGTATCACAAAGATCTTACCCATGGCATCAACTTCGAGGGTTCTGCACTCCATCCTTGGTGGGTTCCCTCATACCACTGTAATTTCTCTTGTAAAAACTGGATATACTGTATAACCTGCAATTTTGTAAATCCTGAAGCTTATCCTTGTGACGACGTAGTAAACAAGATTGAATAAGCAGCAACATAGGCAAGAAAGTGAAATGTCACAACTCACACCTCTAACAAGAATGAAGCTCTGTCTCTCTTCTGATCAGTTTCAGGTATGAGATTCCTTAAAGCCTGAAATCTGCAAAATATTAAGTATTAGTCAGCATTGGGAAGGAGAATGCTGAAGAAGCGACTGAAGAGGCAACTAAAATCCACCAAGTACTAAATAAAACTATAAAACTACTTATGTTATGTGATGTATGAAAACAACGCCTAATCATTAAATCACGAACAAAAAAGTTGATCCTTTTCAGCAAAATAACCAAAAAGTTATGTGCACGTAAACCTTCTGCAGCCTTCCATGCTGGCTGACTAAATTCAGTTTTCTTACTTACAGGTATAAGGGTTCTCAATCATTACAGTGAGATCGTCACAAAACGCCATTTTATAGGCTAACAACCAACTAAAGGGCTAGTTCAACAACTCAGTCAAGTGTCCTAAATTGATGGAGGAAGTATGTTGTTGTCCCCTTATATAGTCTTGAGCAATTCTCACTTCATGAGCTAGCTCTAGGGGACAGTTAGGCACAGGGTCTATTTCTTATCGTAGTATTAGAGTCAGACCCATCCCAGTTCTTGGTTTACCCAATGAAGGAACCATTTTAACTATGCAGAACTCCGAGCAAATTCGCAAAGGACTTCCTACCACAGCAAACCGGGGCTAAAACTTTTAAGAAAGAAGACCGAATCCGCCTCCAAGAGGCCAATACTAACTTCCGCACTATGCTTATCTTAATTTCTTCAAAACTCCGCAATCTCACCCTATCGCCTTGGGTCACCATAGTATATACTGGGACAGTTAATTTTAGAACCAATATTGATCCCTAATCCAACCTCGTGCTTTGTAATCCAAAAATTGGTAGTCTAACTAGAACTTGCAAGTGGAGTAAGAGAACAAAACTTGGCCTAAAGTTTGAAAACAACTTCGAATGCAGAACATAGTAATACTAAGCACTGCAACACATGATCAGCAATATTGCCAGGCCCTATGAAATGTGAGAGTTTTGCTTCTTTGGGATTAGAGCCATTTTAGGTTGCTCTAAAGAGTAAAGATAGGAACACAATCGTCACTGCATGAGATGATGGATAGCAATTTTAAGGACTTGAATGATCTGGAAAATTGTGCCATTTTCGATGTTTTTCAATACAAGCCAACAGTGATTTTCAATCAATAAGGACTATAAGACAAAAATCAACAATAAACCTATGATTCTGAATGATGATCATAACCAGGATGGTGCCCTACTCGACGTTGGTCGTGATTAAGGTTTTCATAAAAAATTGGCATGCGAGAATCAAGCTGGCAGACTAAGACAGGCTCAATTGGATTCAAGCGGTGTTAAGGATAAGTGTTTGATTGCGAGGATGCGAAGCTAATTAATACATCCTTGGTGATTAACATGTAAGGTGGATTATCACCTAAATAAGAAATTTTTGACCACTTGTTGCAAAGAAATGAGCAGATCAAGTTTTTCTCAAAAAAGATATATGCTTGCAATTGCATGGACGGAAGATTATTTAGGCGATTTCTGGAACATATTGAAAATGGGCTGATATCTCCATATATGCTTGCAATTGCATGGATGGAAGATTGTTTAGGCGATTTCTGAAACATATTGAAAATGGGCTGTTATCTCCACATATAGTCTTAACCAGTACTCATCTCATAAGCTAGCTTTTGGGGTTGAGTTAGGCCCAAGATCCATTTCTTATCAAAAGGATATTTTTAAATTTGGAAAGAGCTGATGAACAAATATAGGAGACTCAAACAATGCATTGAGGACTATTCAAACTTTTCCAAATGCAAGCAATAACCATATACATTACACAGATACGAGTGTGGGAGTCCGATATGGCTACAAAATAATACTCACCCCAGTCCATATTCTATCTGATCCTTTTTATGTGTTTGTCTAGCCATGAAGTTCAAGATGTTAACTTAATTTATGTTTATATTAGCAGTAACAGAAGACCATATAAAGTAGTAATTGAAAAGATAATTTAACAAAGATTCCATCACATCAAAGTTCAAAACCAAATAAATTTCAATATGTGAAAGCGTACAAGTATAATACTCCATAATACTCCTTCTGTCTCAATTTATGTGACAATGACACATTTCTATTTCAAAACAATTTAACTTTAAACTTTGTTTTACCCTTAACGAGATGATTTATAGTTGCACAATGTCATATTTTTTATTCTAGACCATTAGTTTCAAAAGTATTGCTTTCTTTCTAAAACTCCGCGTTCAGGAGGAAAACAGAATCACATAAATTGTGACTGAGGGAGTGATACGATTTAGTGGAATGATATCATTCATTTTAAGATGTCCAGAATTGAATAACTAATAGACTTGCCTCTCGTTAATTTTGATCCTCCTTCGCTGCTCCGTCTCAGAATGCTTTGAACGATGAGAATTTCCCTTCCCATCATTGCTCTTCCCTGTCACCCTCAAAATATCGACCCCCACAATAGATTTTATTAGACAAAAAATAAAATAAAAATCAAATCCCAATAGCAGTTAGCTTTACAATAACGTATCCCTATATAAACAAAAGTTGTAGGTTATATACACTGACCATATAATGTTTTTCTTACACCATCAGTGTAATATAATAGTAAATTACTTGCCATTTATTTTAGCTTATCAATTAACGTAATTAAATAAAGTTACAAATAATTACTTTTTGAATTTAAGTTATATATACTAACGGTGGAACGTTTTTCCTACATTATCGTGTAATATAACCCATTATAGTAAGTTACCTACCATTTATTCTATGTTACTAATATAAGTAATACTGTAAAACAAGGTTACCTGCAATTACTTTTTGAAAGACCAACTTGTGTAAATATGTTTTAGACGGTGCATAGAACTTAAACTCAACAAAAGTTTAAGTTATATATTACAGTTACACACTGATAGTGCATTGTTTTTTTTGCACCATCAACTCAATATAATCTGTTCGAGCAGATTTCTTACTATTTATTCTAGTTTACCAATCAATGTTATTTAAAAGAGTTACCTGCAATTACTTTTTAAATGATCAGATTGTATAAATATTTTTTATACCTTATATACACTGACAATACAATACTTTTCTGACACCATTAGTGTATAACATGTTATAGCAAATTACTTACCATTTAAGTTACCAATTATTGCTATAATATAGAGTTACCTCTAATTACTTTTGAGTTTAAGTTATATACACTAACGGTGTAAAAAATACAATCAAGTCATTTTAACGGTAATTGCATGTAACTCTAGATAACAAACATTTTATTAGCAAACTAGAAAAAATGGTAAGTAACATACTATAATAAGTTAATTCAGATTGACGAGTAAAATTTCACTACACTGTGCAAGTGTATATAACTTAGATACATTACTTTTTAAATGAAATGATTATGTAAATTTATATTTTTCGAGCATAGAACTTAAACTCATAAACAAATACCCTTTTGAGAAGAGCCATCAGGAGTTCTGGAAGAAAACTCCTCCTCGTCCTCTTCGTCCTCTTCATGGTGAGTTTTCACAGTTCTCACCATTTTGCAATTCCTCAGCGCACAATTATCTGAAACCAAATAGTATAATTCAGTCTAAACAAGTTCAAATAGTACTTTAATTAAAGAACAAAAAGATACTAAACTGTTTAGAGAATAAGATTAAACGGAGAGACTGACGATTTCGGTAAGGCTCCAATTATCGGAGTATAATCTCGAAACTTGGAGTGATTTCGGAAATTACGAATAGGCTATGATGAGAAAACATAAAAGAATATATATGTATGAGATAAAAACCAAAAAAAAAAAAAAACAGAAAAGAATGAATATGTGTGCAGAGCTGTGTCGCACAGCGAAATGTTGGAAACCCTAGAGACCAATTAAGTGATGTCGGTGTACTGGTGGGTGCTAAAACTGCATCCCATTTATTTATTTATTTAAGATAATGTATTTAGGCCTCATTTATTTATATTTTAAGATTTAAGACGTCTGAATCTGAATACACATCTTAATATCAAGATGTGTATTAAGATTAAGACATCTGCATCTGAATACGCATCTGAATATAGTAAGATGTGTATTAAGATCTGTATAGAAATAATTAAGACTGTTTAATTTTTAACATCTGAATGTATACAATTTATCTTTATTTGAAAATTAATAAACATAAAATTCAAATGAAATACTAACTAATTTAATATTCTATCAATAAAATATATAATTTTTTAAAAATATGATAGTTGTTGGTGGTGATGGCTAACAGGTGAATATCGACTAGAGGCGTTGATTGGTGGTAGTTTTGGTTGATGATGATGGTTGTGAGCACGTGATTTTTGCCACGCTTAAATTACTCCTACAAAATTCCTTAGAATTAGGATTTTTCTTTATTATTTGAATTTTTAGGAATTAATTGCATGATTTTGTGCCTCGTTTGCATTTTTGTGTGCATTTTTAGTTGCCATAATTCATAAAAAAGGGTACAAAAATAGTGCATTCGCATTTAGAATTCGATGTTATACTTTTAGTTTTACTAGTTAATCAATATTACTAAAATAAGAGAAAAATAACAAAAATAAATCTTTTACATCTTTGTTCTTTTAATTTCACTTATTTGTTTAATTTCCTTTTAAAAATGGATCTAGTTAATTTAGAAATTTAATTAGTCTCATTTAGAATTAAATCAGGTTTTGGCTAGTTTTTTTAATTTTACATTTTGTAAAATCTGAAATTTCAAAATAAATAAAAGGAAAAGAAGAAAATAAATAAAAAGAAATTGAAATAAGAAGCAAAAGGTTGGCAAATTTTGGGCCATTATCATGCAAAACCACAAGCCCAAATGCAAGATCCCTTCCAAAACCGGACCAACCGCCCAGTCCAGGCCCAAAAATACCCCACCCGTTCCAGTGATTTAATGCCCAAAACGACGTCGTTTCATAGGCCTTCAATCTTGACCGTTGGATCTCATCAATCCAACGGTCCGGAACTAACCAGGATGTCTTGTATTTAAATGTCGGATTCCCCCCCTCCCCCCTGCCCCTCAATCGCCTCTCAAAACACCTCCATACACATCGGCGTAACGCCACTGCTTCCCCGCCGTCCCCCACCGTCTGCCGCCGGCCGGAAATCGCCTCCGCCGGCGGCGATTATCCAACAGCCATGAAAATCACACCACTACTTCACTTCCTTCTCCTCATCACGGATCTAGCCCTGTTTTCTCTCAAATCACATCCTAGCTCCTCCAATATTCGAATCAGTGGTCGCCGCCTCCGCCGCCCACGGCGGCGCCACCTCCAAATCCCACCCAAGTTACACCCTGGAACCTCCTCACCTTCCTCTTCTCAAATCCTCATTTATTTTCCCTCAAATATTCCTCCAGAGCTTCGAATTTCAGATCGAAAATTCAGGCTTAGAACCCTAATTTTGCAAAATTGGGGGAATTCGAGTTCTGGGCTATAATAGCCCTTAATCATGTGTGTTCTTATGAAAACACATGATTAAGAGTGATTATAGTCCCAAATCACTCCAGGAGGTTAACCCTAATTCGAATCCGAGTCGGAAATTGCGAGGTACTTTATTTTTCCTCACTTTCTTTCCTGTTCATGATTTCTTGTGCTTGTTCTATTATTTCTTTTTCTCTTATCAATTTTAGTTTTATTTTGGTGCTTGACTTAGGTTTCTGATCACGCAAGTTTGATTCCTTTTCCTGTTTTTGTTTGTGTATTCGATTTCAATTATAGAATCCATGTTCGCTACTGATTCTTTTTAGATTTTCTTTTAGGGTTTTGTCCCTGGTTGATCCCTTATTTGCTGATTTTGATTTTCTTTAGGCTTTATTCATGTTCTCTATTGTTGATTTGTTCAGTTATTGTTTCATTAATGCAGTGATAAAATTAGTCTTAGGGTATAGTATTGATTAGAATTAATTTAGGTTCTAGTTAGGATAATCAGGCTGTTAGTTCAATTTTGGAAGGGTATGGTTATAATTGAAATTGGCTTGGTTATAGCTGAATATTCTCAGCCCTTAGTTGATCAACTATGGTCATTTTGACCAAGTTCAAAAGGGTTAGGGGTTGGTTTGACTAGGTTGGTAATTTCAGAATAAATTAAGGGTAGTATAGGTAATTCAATAAAAGGAATAATGCAGTAACTGAAATTGGAAATCACTAGAACTTTCTAGAGGGGGTTTTAATTTGAAATTCAGAAAGTTAGTAGTATTACTTGGCCAACAAGGCATAAAATGAGGGGTTTAAGTAGTTAAAATCTGAAAATTAATAAGGGACTAAGGTGTAAAGGGAAAATTTGAAAGTTGCCCTAATGTTTGCCTATAAAAGGCATGTATTCTGCCTTCATTCACAGGTTTACACTCTCTGAAAAATTCCACAAGTGTTCAGCCCCAAATTTCCCTCCCAAAGCAATTTTTAGCAAGTTTAGAACTTAGAATTCGAAATTCAAACCAAAATCCAGATCTGAAACACTGAAGTTCCCTTAGATCTTAGTCTTCTTCAACAAAACAAAACAAAAAAAAAAACAACAGAAAAATCAAAAATACTGCTCTATTGAAATTTCCTTGGTGTTTCTGATTGCTGAAACTTTGGACGTAGCCTAAGTTTAATTGCAAGTCTATTTGAGTTCAAACAAGCCTATTTGGTTATTTTGTGGGTACTACACTCCTGTCGTTCAGTTCTGGGTGTTGTGGTGCTATTTTGGTTTAAAAATTGGCTCCATTTGCTGTTGATATGAGCTGCTGCTTGTCACTGCTGATCACCTCTTCTCTTATCTTGTTTCATTATCCAGGTACACACTTGGATCTACCTTGATGTAGCCTTCAAGTTGGAAATAGAATGAATTTGCTTCCCTGATACTTGCTTGTTGGATCATTTCTGTCAATAGCTAGATAAATGTTCATTGTTGCATGTATTTGTCTGGTGTAGTTTAGTTTTGGTCTGTACTAAGCATAAACAATGGACTATGGATTGATATACTTTCATTAAGATTGTTTCATTGGATTAATTGACTGAGACTTGGACTATAGACCTCTGTTTCACTCATTTCGTCTGTATTCTGTAATTAGGTCCTATGCATAAATCGTTAGGTCTATTATTTTATTTCAAATGTAGTTGATGCTACCAGTTTCTAGTGTGGATGATACAATTGAATGTTGGAACAGCTGGTGTAATTCAGTCATATTACAAATGTTAGAACACATAGGCATGATTTAAATCTGGAAACGGCATACATGCTTATAACGACGTGCAGTCTATTACATCTAGTAGTCTAAAGGCGTAGTCATTTCCAGTGATTCATCTCCAAGTTTAATTCACAAATAAAAAAAAAACTTCTGAACGTGTATTGAATGAAATTATTTGGTTATTAAAATCTCAGAATAAATGAGTTTGTAGTCATCAGTATACACCTGAATTTAAGTCAACATGTCTTGATTTGAGTAAATATGAAACTATTCATTTGTTCACAAATTGACTAGTCCAGTCGTGACTTGGGTTCAAAGACTCAATCTAATATTGGACTTGGATTCCTTCATGGGCCGAACCTGATGGCCCTTGTTTTAATAGAAGCTGGGCCTAAATTTTGTTCGTGCAAGGCCCACGTTTGGGCAGTTTTGTTTTCAGGAGCATAACTGAATTTGCTTAGGGCCAGGTTGAGGCCCAATAAAATGGTGAAAGTTTCAAATCACGAGTCTTGGGCTAATTGTTGAGGCCCAATAGAATGCTGGAAGCTAAAAATTCATTAAAATTACATTAGGAATATGGGGGCTTAATTTGCAATATAAATTTAGGTTTTCGAGTTAGGTAGCGGGTTCAAATTAAGAGGGTCCTCCCTTTTGTTTGAATTCGGACTTGAACTCGAGGCCCGAATTTATAAATGCAAATTAATTAGGCCCTTTTAGAGACAAAAGAAATAGAAAATCGTAGTTGCTTTAGGTTGGCCTTTAAATAAAAATGAGATGAGCCTCGCCAAACAAAACACATAAATTGCGGGGCCCTCAGTAATTGTTCCTATTAAAATCCTTAGAATTCGGGGCGTGCCGTTTAGCGAATTTCACGGCCCTCCACAAAGTTAATAAGACGCTAGCCACTTTAGGCGCGCTTTTAATAATTTTACTTTCCTAAACTCGGGTGCGCATTTCATGCAACCCAAATCCAAATCCCAAAACGTTGAATAAGAGGTGTTTAGGATCCGGGTGCATTTCATGTGACGTGATCCAAAAACACGCTCTTAAACGGCGTTCACTTTCGTAAAAACAAAATAAACTAAAAGCGGTAAATAATCTTAAAATTGCACTATAGGTTTAAATATGTATAAAAACCAGATTTTAGCCATTTATGATAATTTAAGCGACCGTGCTAGAACCACGGGATCCGGGGGTGCCTAACACCTTCCCTCGGGTCAACAGAATTCCTTACACAGAATTTCTGGTTCGCAGACTCCAATTGGGAAGTCGAAATTTTCCTCGATTTTGGATTTAAATTAAATCGGTGACTTGGGACACCAAAAGCCAATCCTATCCCAAGTGGCGACTCTGAAAAAATAAATAAATAATCCCATTTCGAATAATGTCACTTTAAATGGAAAAACTCCCTTATACGTATATCCTTCGGGGTAGGTGTGTAAAAAAGGAGGTGTGACAGCGGTTCATGCTAGTAGCTAGTGGTAATTGGTAGTGATGGCGATTATGATTGAGGATGGTGGTGGTGGGTGGTGATAGTTAATAATGGCGGGTGGTGGTAATAGTTGTGGCTGAGGAAGGTGGTTGATGGGTGGTGGTAGGTTATAAGATGGCCAGTACCGGCTATGGTTGTTAATGGTGATGAGGTGGTCAGTTGTGGTAGTTGAGGTGGATGAGTGTTGATTGTGGGTGAGAATGATGGTAGTCGGAGT